GTACACCCACGGTAATTAATTCTGTCCCTCGGAAAATTTCACAAAATAAAAAATGACCACCTTTCTATATTAATTGTCACAATCCATGCACGATTAACGTTACGACTGGACCATGAAGGAAGATATAAGGAGACTCCACTCGGTCTCGCCAGTCTACAAGACATGAACCCATTTTAGGTTTCGAGTTCCGTTTCCGATTCTCGACACTCGCAGCGCTCGTGAATTTAGTAGTGCTGCGCATAATGAGTGCGAGTAAGAGAAATGATCATTTCTCTTACTCGCACTCATCAGAATCGGAAACTGAACTCAAAACCTAAAATGGGTCCACTTTTATTTTACGGAGTGGAGTCTCCTTATATCATACTTCCTGGACTGAACCTTATCGTGCATGAATAGTGACAATTAATATAGAAAGGAGGTCACTTTTCATTTTGTGAAAATTTCCGAGGGACAGAATTAATTACCGTGGGTGTACTACATGCTTTATGCGTTATGCTAAAGTGTGTGTTGGGGTAAGAGCCCCCACACAGACTTTTGCATAACGCATAAACCATATACATAAAGAATTTGATTGGCCCATTTTCTTATGCATGAGTCAATGGACCAATCAAATTCTTTATGTATATGGTTTATGCGTTATGCAAAAGTCTGTGCTCCCCGCTTAAGGCACTATAAAGGGGAGTATTCCTATCCGCCATTTTTGTGCCAAACAGTGCCACTACAGCGAGTGAACAGCAATGCTGATTGAATGTCCGAACAACAATTCGCCGCATTTAATCCAAAAAGTATGTATTTTTCCAATTAAAAAAACATTCATACAAACACGGAAATAATTAATTTCTGTGTCAGAATAGAAATTTGTTCTTTTTATCTGCAAATATTTATGTCTCAGAAAGATAACCTTCAAGACGTTATTTTCTTGTTGCAGAAACAAATCATATAAGGACATATAATTCGCATTTAAAAAAATGCCTGGCTGTGCCGCAGTTAATTGTAGTAATCGGGTTGATAAGGGCTACAGGCTCTTCTCGTTCCCTAAGGGTAAGATAAATGGGTTGACAATATGCGACGAGATAAGTGGACACCGACCATCTCTTCGCGATTGTGTGAGGTAAGTATCTCTCTCTCAAAATAAGGATATAATTTTTTTATCATATCACCCAATGGCCTAATACTCAACGCTAATAATATTTTTTTGTTTGTTTCAAGGTACATTTTGAAGATTCCCAATTCGAAGCTCACCGCATTGATGGCTGGAGAAAACTTAAACCGAATGCAGTCCCAACGCTTTTCGATGTGCCCAACCCCCCGCACAGTGGGTCGAAACATAGCAAAACCTGGACATAGGATTCCAATCGTTGTGCAACTTCATTTTTCTCGCTTAAAAGTAAAGACTGGAAGTTTTTAGGGTTATTAATCTTGAAATATAAATCCTCCAATAATTTCGAGTTCGAAATGGCGGAAAGCCTAATTTATAAAAACGGATGAACAAATTGAAAAAATCTTTGGACGAATTATAAAAAAAGTTGTATTCATGAAATGGTTCCTACTTATTTGCCGATTAAAAATGGTATTATTTTTCATTAGTTTTGAAAATAAAAATTATAAATAATTAATCAGTTAAAAGGAATAAACCTATTTTCAATCAAAGCAAATTTTAATGCATAAATATTTAAAGTGAATTTATATACGTATTCAATTCTGCAAATCGCACCTTTTTTGATCTTGAAATACAATCTTATAAACAGAACTTCGAATAGTAAATCACATATTAAATTACCATGCAATTTATTAATTTTTGATGCTAATGAGTATATTGAGAACTGTGAAAAATTTAATTAATTACGGAAAATACAAATAATTAACAATATTAATAATAGGGAATAGCCGATTGACGGCCAAGCAATAACATCTAAAGTCAGGAAAGCATCAATTACATCGCGGAATTGTGATCGGAATTACATTTTTCTTCACATGATTATTGATTTATTTAAACACTGCATTTTCGATAAGGGTTGGAAACCACTTAATTACGGTTTAGTTATGGCGTCGTTGACTTTTTGTGATGTATCTGAATTCTTGTTCAAATGTGGATTTGATTTCGTCTTAGGACACCCATTTACGCAAGATGCGTTAGAAAACATTTTCTCGCAAATTAGGCGTAGAGAAGGATCTATGCCTAGCGCACTAAAAGCCTTACGAGCAATTAGGTCTATTTCTGTCGCACAATATATATCCGAAGTGAAGCATAGCAGTTACATGAATGACTCAGATGAATTTCTATTGGATCTATGTGAGAAAAAAAGAAAAATTGCACGTACGAAGTATTGTGACAAGGAATGTCAAGAGATTTTGCCTGTAAACGATGCAGCTTCACAAATTAAATTTAAAATTGAAATGCTTTCAATTGACCGATTAAGTGAAATTATGTCGCATCACGATGCTAATATTGTTTTTTATATAGCCGGGAGTACTACAAAAGCTATAGAAAAAAAAAATTGTTATCGATGACAAAAATTTACGTTAATTCTCCACAATTTCTAAGTCTACACATTGTTAATGTCCATATAAACAGTAAATATTCATGGTTCGTTTTATACTTGAAATTAATGGCGAATTCGATTGGATGCACTAGTGCGCACTGAGTGCACCTGAGTTCATCTTTCTTCCTTTTCTTTCCAGGAGAAGGGAAAAGGAAAAAAGATGAACTGGTGCAATTACACTGCACTGGTGCATCCAATCGAATTCGCCATAAGTTGAAACAAGCTTTAAGCCTTGTGTCCACGATGCTAGAACTCGGTCCGAGTTCTAGCATCGTGGACACAAGGCTTTAAACAATAATTAGAACCAGCTTTGAAGCCTTTTAAGCGAAAAAATAATTTTACCCTATGTCCGGGTTTTGCTATGTTTTGACCCACTATGCCCCGCCACGAATCAACCCACCTAAACGAAAATCACTGTACAAGGTTACTTTCAACATAAATTAACCACATTTTTTTAACCTATCACTGTCAAGATTAACATTTTTCCTCCTTTCAGAATCGTGACGAAAACGCAACGCCTGCTCAAATAGCAATAATAGTCAATAGTTTTGACCGATCGGTGCTTCAAGAATTGGTAATTTTTCAAACCACAATACTATATATTAATGAAAGAAGATTGAATTGCACTATCCAGAATCTTAATCGTCTGAGTTTTTCTATTGCAGAATTCGGTTAACCAAGAAAAAGCTACTGAGGAGTGTGACAAGCCATTTGAAACAACGCAACAGCCGGAACGAGTCTTCGATCTGCACACACCCGTAACAGATGCAACGGAAACATGAGAATGTGAGGTAAACGGAGAATCTTTTTCTTTTTCTGGTAGTGTTGGAAAACAAAAACACTGTAAACGTCATTACAGATTTTTCTTTTTTTTTTTACATATTATACATTTTTGCTTTGTTTTTTTTGTACTGCTAAAATAATTGTCAGCTCTCTAAACATAATGTTTGTTTCTATCGCTATATTACAGGCGGAGGAGTTCGCTCGAGTAACACAATATTTGCAGGAACAGGTCACTTTTTTAAACAACAAAAATTGCGACTTGGTATGATTAAATGCAGCACAAGAGAACTTTCAACGTTTACAACAGCAAACCAGCTTAGGGTCTGAGCACAAGCACTGCCGTAATATTTTACGACATACTTAAGTTGTAGACGTAAATAACGCACAAGCTTTGGCGTATCGGCGTATGACGTGTTTATGTACATTATTGACATATCTTTCGATAGTGTGCATAAACACGTCATACGCCGATACGTCAAAGCTTGTGCGTTATTTACGTCTACAACTTAAGTTGTCGTAAAATGTTACGGCAGTGCTTGTGCTCAGACTCTTATACGAATCAGTGGCTGCGGATAATCAAGCCATGAAAAAAACGTTAGAAAGATGGCATACTATTTTTAAGGTATATTCGTTTTACCCACAAGTGTCAAATTATTTAGATAAATATAATATTGAGTGATTTATATCTGTATAATAATATTATAATATAAAGAGTTCTATAGTATTATATTATAAAGAGATTATTAGGTTCTGTGTGTTAGAATGATGACAGGTATTTTCAATTAAATTTTTTTCATAAAAAACAATTAAACAAGAAAACAGATGAAACAAACGCAAAATTACGAAGTTATCAAGGAATTTGAAGCGTAATGGTAATCATGCTATAAAATTTGACATCTAATGGTTAATATTCATATTATCAAGTGTATATTACTAATTATATATTGGAATACTGTTAATTGTATATTGTAATTTTTTATATAGAATCATGCGTTTTTACATTGTGAAATCAAATTGAGAAGTGTACATAATATAGAATTAAACATCTAATAATGATTATTCATATTATCAAGTGTATATTACTAATTATATATTGGAATATTGTTAATTGTGTATTGTAATTTTTTATATAGAATCATGCGTTTTTACATTGTGAAATCAAATTGAAGTGTACATAATATAGAATTAGACATCTAATAATGATTATTCATATTATCAAGTGTATATTACTAATTATATATTAGAATACTGTTAATTGAATATTGTATTGTGAATTGAATTTTTTATACAGAATCATGTGCGTTTTTACATTGTGAAATCAAATTGAAGTTTGTATTTGTATAATCTTTATAATTTTGTCCACAATTTATAAAAATTGTTATAGGAATTACATAAATAAAAGATTGACAGATATTTCTGCAATATTTATTATTTATTAGAAAATAAAGGGACAAGTAATGTGATCAATACTTATACAAAAATTATCACAGCATATCACGTAATATACATATATATTAATATATTGTATATGTATATTTTACATAATATATATATTAACATAGATATGTCATACTATGGTCACGTTCAGCAGACTCAACTGTTGCGGAGCGGATCCATGAACGCTCACTGCTATTGGATGATCTAAAAGAATATACCAATAGTAGTGAGTGCTCATGGATCCGTCTGCTGAACGTGACCAATATGTAACATATTTATAATCTAATTTTTTCTCCGTTTCGCACTGGCAGTACCACAAACAATTTTTCGTTTTTTACTATTTTCTGAGAAATTTGTCGTACAGAAAGAACGTACTATAAAAAAATGCTTTATCGTTTTTTCTTTCATATCGCAGCACGATGGGAATTTAATATCTAATTGATCTATTAAATGCTGTATTAGATTCCTATTACAATTTCTCAGCAGGTAATTTTTGTATTTCGTAAAATAGTATTCGCAGTGAAAAATTAAAAAAAGTATTTCAAAACAAGATTCTTTTAAACCACCTTGGTTGGCTTCTGTTGTATATGTTTTCCATTTGTTTACAACGGCAATATCAGGCAAATTTTCAGACATGAATTGAATACAGTCGGAACATATTTTTTTTCTATAGCTTTTGTAGTACTCCCGGCTATATAAAAAACAATATTAGCATCGTGATGCGACATAATTTCACTTAATCGGTCAATTGAAAGCATTTCAATTTTAAATTTAATTTGTGAAGCTGCATCGTTTACAGGCAAAATCTCTTGACATTCCTTGTCACAATACTTCGTACGTGCAATTTTTCTTTTTTTCTCACATAGATCCAATAGAAATTCATCTGAGTCATTCATGTAACTGCTATGCTTCACTTCGGATATATATTGTGCGACAGAAATAGACCTAATTGCTCGTAAGGCTTTTAGTGCGCTAGGCATAGATCCTTCTCTACGCCTAATTTGCGAGAAAATGTTTTCTAACGCATCTTGCGTAAATGGGTGTCCTAAGACGAAATCAAATCCACATTTGAACAAGAATTCAGATACATCACAAAAAGTCAACGACGCCATAACTAAACCGTAATTAAGTGGTTTCCAACCCTTATCGAAAATGCAGTGTTTAAATAAATCAATAATCATGTGAAGAAAAATGTAATTCCGATCACAATTCCGCGATGTAATTGATGCTTTCCTGACTTTAGATGTTATTGCTTGGCCGTCAATCGGCTATTCCCTATTATTAATATTGTTAATTATTTGTATTTTCCGTAATTAATTAAATTTTTCACAGTTCTCAATATACTCATTAGCATCAAAAATTAATAAATTGCATGGTAATTTAATATGTGATTTACTATTCGAAGTTCTGTTTATAAGATTGTATTTCAAGATCAAAAAAGGTGCGATTTGCAGAATTGAATACGTATATAAATTCACTTTAAATATTTATGCATTAAAATTTGCTTTGATTGAAAATAGGTTTATTCCTTTTAACTGATTAATTATTTATAATTTTTATTTTCAAAACTAATGAAAAATAATACCATTTTTAATCGGCAAATAAGTAGGAACCATTTCATGAATACAACTTTTTTTATAATTCGTCCAAAGATTTTTTCAATTTGTTCATCCGTTTTTATAAATTAGGCTTTCCGCCATTTCGAACTCGAAATTATTGGAGGATTTATATTTCAAGATTAATAACCCTAAAAACTTCCAGTCTTTACTTTTAAGCGAGAAAAATGAAGTTGCACAACGATTGGAATCCTATGTCCAGGTTTTGCTATGTTTCGACCCACTGTGCGGGGGGTTGGGCACATCGAAAAGCGTTGGGACTGCATTCGGTTTAAGTTTTCTCCAGCCATCAATGCGGTGAGCTTCGAATTGGGAATCTTCAAAATGTACCTTGAAACAAACAAAAAAATATTATTAGCGTTGAGTATTAGGCCATTGGGTGATATGATAAAAAAATTATATCCTTATTTTGAGAGAGAGATACTTACCTCACACAATCGCGAAGAGATGGTCGGTGTCCACTTATCTCGTCGCATATTGTCAACCCATTTATCTTACCCTTAGGGAACGAGAAGAGCCTGTAGCCCTTATCAACCCGATTACTACAATTAACTGCGGCACAGCCAGGCATTTCTTTAAATGCGAATTATATGTCCTTATATGATTTGTTTCTGCAACAAGAAAATAACGTCTTGAAGGTTATCTTTCTGAGACATAAATATTTGCAGATAAAAAGAACAAATTTCTATTCTGACACAGAAATTAATTATTTCCGTGTTTGTATGAATGTTTTTTTAATTGGAAAAATACATACTTTTTGGATTAAATGCGGCGAATTGTTGTTCGGACATTCAATCAGCATTGCTGTTCACTCGCTGTAGTGGCACTGTTTGGCACAAAAATGGCGGATAGGAATACTCCCCTTTATAGTGCCTTAGTAGTACTAGAGTACGCATTGTAGGAATGGGGTTAATCCTATCTAGAAAAGGACGCACTCATTTTGGCTAGAGATACTATAGTAGCGTTTTCCACTGGGAAAACGCTATAAGAGAGATTAGACAATGCGTTAACGATTTCTGATTGGCTCCCGTCGCTTGGGGTATAATCGGAAGTGTGAGAGAGAAAAATAGCTGATCTAACCTGTCACCTGTCGAAAGAAAACAGCGTGTCTGAATCTGAATAATCAACTTTGGACGAAACTGGTTAAAAGTACATTAAGCATATAACGAAAAAAAAAAAAAAAAAAGAAAATAGCCTCGGTTAATCGATTATAAGTCAATACTTGTGCAAATTATAATGTATGTGTATTTTATTTCAGACTATGTGATTTATATAATGTGCCATATTTTCAATGTAGCCTCAAAAATTTTTTTCAAATAAAATAGGTGAATAACAAATGTCTAATAGTTGCTGTGCTTTTATATATTTATATATATGTAACATAACATGTGTATATATACATATAATAATAATATATAATTCCTTAATAATCTTAATTTATATTACCTAACCTTAAATGGGAAAACTGATATAGTTAGTAAGCCTTTTTTAAATATTTTTTAAAATATTTATTCACATTCCTAAATGAAAAACATCAAACTTAAAATAAAACTATATATATCGTATACAAATAATTCTTGCATTCATTCAACAATCAAAATAAACCGCCATCAAAAACGTCATATCCGATATCCGGTTTTACCCCACGACGGCTTGTTGTCTAATCTCAGGCCGGTATTCATAGTCAGTTCTTATATTCAAGACCGTCTTAAGTTCAGTCTTGAGGAGTTACGAACCAATCAGAGGGCCGCTTTAGCATCTTAAGGCATTACTTAAGACATTCTTGAAATAAGAACCGACTATGAATACCGGCCAATAGTATCTCTAATTTGGGCCTTTTCGTTCTCTCGTTTCGCGCATGCGTATAGCCATATACTCTGAGAGAGGGGATCGAAAGAAAGAACGAGTCGAACGAGAAAAGTTTCATCATTATATGACCGGATAAACCTGAATGAGCCTGATCACTTTGGAATCAAACAAAGAATTGAGTTTGATAAGGTTAAGGGCTCTCGATGAATAATATCAATAAATATTAATGATAAAAATCTATTACTTATACCCCTATAATTCCAGTTATGCGAGCATATTGACCAGCACCACCAGATTGTTTCTTATAAAGATAGTCAAATTCACATGGTTTAGTTAAGTCTGCGGAAATAAACTTTTGGCTTTCCAAGAATGACCGAACAAGCCTGATCTCTTTGAAGTCAAAAGAATTGACTTTGATAAGGTTAAAGGAGCCTACAGACTAGAGCGGCGGTGAAGCGGCGAGCGATAGCCAATGAGAGCCATGATTTTACGTAAAAGTATGGCTCTCATTGGTTATCGCTCGCCGCTTTACCGCTGCGCCGCTCTGGTCTGTAAGCTCCTTAAGGTTTCCCAGTGCCAAGGGTTGCTCTTTCAATTCCTTAAGCGGGGAGCACACACTTTTGCATAACGCATAATACATATACATAAAGAATTTGATTGGTCCATTGACTCATGCATAAGAAAATGGGCCAATAAAATTCCTTATGCACATGCTTTATGCGTTATGCAAAAGTGTGTGTTGGGGCTCTTATTCTTTCTTTCAATCCCCTCTCTCAGAGTATACGGATATACGCATGCGCGAAACGAGAGAGAACGAAACGGTTCCATTGGAACCCTGCGCCGCCGCTTCACGCCGCCGCCGCCGATAAATTATTATCCGCCGATTCCGCCGCCGCCAATTTTAAAATGTCCGCCGAACGCCGCCGCCGCCGCCGCCG